TTATAGAAATAGGACTCTTTAAAAAAATCACTTGGTTCAACTGTTTATAACACCCGAAATTAAGGGCGTGTTGACATACGATTGATTTATATAAGAGTCTGGAACCTGGTTGAGGGAACTTACATTTTTTTTTTAATTTAATTTTTTTTTAAAGACAGAGGGTCTTGCTATATTGCCCAGGCTGGAGTGCAGTGGCTATTGACGGGAAGATCCCACTACTGATCAGCAGGGAAGTCTTGAGCTGCTCCCTTTCAAACCTGGCCTGGTTCACCCCTCCTTAGGCAACCTGGTGGTCCCCTGCTCCTGGGAGGTCACCATGTTGATGCCAAACTTAATGCGGACACCTAACTGGCATAGTGTATGACAGCCCAGAACGCCTGGACTCAAGTAATCCTCTCGCCTCCCAAGGACCTGGGACTACAGGCATGTTCCACTGCACTTGGTGGGAACTTATTCTCTATTTGGGTACCTGGAAAACTTCTGGATGTGACTTCAGATCCTTGACCATATTGATAGCCAACAGGAGTAGAGTCCATTTCAGCATCAATTTGTGCTTGTTCTTCAGATGGGGAAACGTGGCTGGAAGAGTCGGATGTTCGTGCTTCTCGTTTGCTTGACTTATAATGAGCAACTTCAGAAGGCTGTGACAATCTCAAATGTTTGGCCTTTTTAATGGAATCTTTCCTTGGTTCGTGTTTGGCCAAAGGTTGTTGAGTATTCCTTTGGGAGACTGGATGATAATTATACTTACTCCAGGATTTTCCACTTATTATACCCGTTCCTTGCTCTGGGCTTAGGTGAGAGTGTGGAGAACTGCCTTCTTCTTGCCAACCACCACTATAAAAAGAGGAACGTTCTATGCCATTAGAGTTGGCGTCTTTATCTGAGAGACTGAAATAGCGATCTTTTTCTTTCTCACTAATATCTAACGAAGATTTAATAAAAGTCTTACATACACTAATGACATCAGTCATCTGAAGGAAGCTAGCAGCGGACATCACTTCTATGACATTCTGACCAGTAAGAGATAGTTTGCCAGAATAGACAAAGTCCAGGATAACTGTAAAAGTGTCAGGGGAGAAAGCCTGAAAGGTAGCTGTGGTTGGCTGACTTGTCTCCTTTGAATTCTGAGAAAGAAGCATTTTAAAGTAGCCACTACTAGCAAATAATACATTTCGATGTGCTTTGAAGACCTTCCCTTCGACTAGAATACTGCAATCACAAAATACATCTTGTCTGCGCTGTTCATTCAATTGTTGCAGGAGGTGAGACTGATGAGAGGAGATCTCCATTCTGAAGAGGAAAAGACGTGTGGTTACCAAAAACCAAATAACATTCCTTTTCCAAGGTGAGTCAACTAAAATAATGATCAGATCAGATGCCTCTTTTTTCCATGAAAAACATTTTCTTCCTGGAAAATTTAGTCCCCAAGACATAGAAGATAATAGGTTTCAAGATAGCATTTAAAACTATGCTATTAGTTGTTAAATTTTTAGAAAATTATTTGTTTCATCATTATTGGGCATCTTTAATAAATCAGTCTTTCTGCTATATGCTGAACCAAACAGATTTGATTCTTGCTTTCATGTAGTTTCCAGACAAAGGCTTGTATGAAGTTACAATGACAAGTGCTAAAACAGAAAAAGGGTGCTGTAAGTAGCATAAGGGTAAACTGGTTTCGATTGGGATGGAGAGGGTTAGAGAATACCTCTGTGAGAAGTAACATCTAAGCTAAGACCTCAAAGGTGACCAGGAATTAGCGAGGTAGAATGAGGAGAAAGATTTCTAGTTCCTGCAAAATGGTGGTATAGAAAATGCTGACATTTTCCTGCCACAAATCCCTAGAGATGCTGGATGACATATAACCAAACCTTTCTAAATGTATGGCAGAGCTTGCAAGAAAGAGTAAGAAATTCCTAGATGCCAGCAGAGAGGAAGGAGCAGAGCCGGTGCAGCAAGCACAGGTGTGCCGGCCAGTCCTACGGGCTATCTAAGAGAGTTGAGAGGTGGGAAACTAGAACCCTCTAAGGAACACAATCTTAGTGAAAAGGGACTAAAAATCTTGACCATAAGTCCAAGGAGAAGGTAAAGAAAGTTCGTCTTTGCAAGGCCTTGGGTGGGGAAAAAAAGGGCCCTGGGTGAGAGATTCAAATCGAACATTGTGCCTTGTGTGACTCTGGAGTCCAAATTGACTTAACTGGCTTGGTGTGGGAAATCTCCACCTGAAAAATTACCATGAAAATTGGTCCTGGGCTGGTAGTGCCCGGGGGGCATGTTCCCGAAGCAAATGCAATAGTGTTCAGGAAGGAAGCTAGGGGAACCAAAGCCAGGTAGGAAATAAGCTCTGCTTAAGTGGAAATCAAAATCATTCCCCTCCTTTATACAAAGTGGATAATTTCCAATGTCATACAAACATGGTGTCAAATATCTCCTAACTCACAAACGAACAAACATGCCAGTAAAAACCTTCATGCCTACCTCTAGCCACTATTCCATTTCTATGTTCCCTTTACACAAAATCCATTGAAAGAGTTTTGTTTTGTTTGTACTTGGTTTTTTTTCACTTCTCCTGTTCTTTTTTTTTTTTTTTTGAGACAAAGTCTGGCTCTGTTGCCCTGGCT